TCGTCTGTGAGCTCCCTGTCCTGCATACCCGCCGACGGGGTGGGCGGGTGTGTGTGCTTTGTGTATGGTGGGAAGAGTGACCAATCAGAGCGGCAATTCTGAGACTCCGCCGAGTCTGGGAGACGAGCAAAGGGAGCGGCCAAAGCGGGAGACGAGGCGAGAAAGCCATGGCGAGAAAAGGTGGCGGAGGAGGACTGCCAAGTGGACGACGGCGTGTGGGCATGTGGCAGATGAGTGCTTCCGGTAGAGAGGGCAAGGCGAGGACCTGCAGACTCGTGGATCTGTGCGGCGCCAGACCGGCCTAAAGAGGTGTTGGTGTGCTGAGGGTGGGAGGGAGCGGAGGGGGATTGGCATGTGGGTGGATAGAACAGGCGTCCCGGAGCCGGAGCGGTGACGAGCACAGTTGACAAGACTACCGCCGGAGCAACAGTCGCGACCTGGCAACCGGCGGAGGTGGCCAGCTCGGCGGGGAGGAGGCAACGTTCGGGCTGTTGAAGGGCGCAGTGGAGCAAGCCGACGCCGTTTGGAGGTCGAAGTAGACGGAACTGCAGACAGGCTGACAATGATCTGGAACCGGGGACTTGTGTGAGGCAAGGGAATGGCCAGCAAATAGGGTTTGTGTTTCGGATTACTTAAATGCCATCGAACAAATGGTACAGATGATCCGAGCAGCCATTTAAAGTGGTGCTAGAATAAATGCGTGAAAAAACGCGAAAGAATAATAGGACAAAATTCAACATCATTATCATTTTTAGAGCATACCTTTCGGTTTGTTTCGGTAGGCGGATGGAAAGGATTCTTAGATTGGCCGCATCGGATACTTTAGTCTGTTGAATTGCTCGAAGAAGACCTCGAAAGAAGCCAGAAACCATTATTCACGAACAGTATTCGACTTACTTACATGGTTCCGTTTTTTTAATGATTGCTCACAAATAATGGTTTCTGGCTTTGACAATGTCGGTCACATGATGGACTGAAGACGAATACGTACAATTCAACAGTCACTAGTCAAATACCAGCCTTCTTTGGTATCCGGTAAGACCAATTTACGAATGCTTTATACCCGCCTTCTCAAACGAAATGAAAGTTTTACCAGTGCCAAGGGATTCTTAGAGGCCCAGGTTCTTTTCAATTTTCCTCTATTTCATTTGAGCCGATAAAAGGGACTGATAGTAGCATTTTTCCACAATCATGTGAGGAGAACTTACATTTTTTATTCGACTTTGTGTCGAGATTAAACGCTGCAATGTCAGTTCACTCCAGCCTGGATGAAAATACGTAAGGTCTTCTCATATGATTGTGGAGGCATAGAAATACCAGTCCTCTTATCACATTAAACAAAAAGGAGTGAATTCATCTCAAGCATCACTATCAGTCAGAAAGTCGACTATGAATAGCATACTTTTGCGTGCAACTGCACAAACACACAGGCACATAAACACAACTGCATATGCAAAGATACACATAATTGGGTAAATGAGAAAAATGAAGAAACACAAAGAAAGTGATCAAAAAGCAAATCTGGCAGGCACTCAGGAATAAGCGCTGATTCTGATACTCTGCTAGGAAGCTGCCTACTTTGAACCATTTAAAGCCTTTAACGAATGAATAAGTGAAAATGTGGAAAAAATACCGAGGCAAAATTCAACATCAACATCACTCAAAAAACGGACAGTCAAAATATACAATCTCATGCAAACATACACACGCAAAAGTGGGTTTCGAAGAGTTCCTCTGTGATTTATTGTGCCATGACCCTTCATTTCGAAGGAGAAGCTGGTTGGAAGGAATTCGTGAAACGGACTCACTGGAAACCGAAGGAGGATTGCCGCATAGTAAAGATTGTCCCCTATCGCAAACTTCGCCATAAAATGTAAGTGCGATTATTACAGGGCGCCCTTATTTTCTTTGCTTATTGTATTTAGTGCGTTTTTTTTATAAAGTAGGCTTTCTGGCTCTGGCGCGATCCGTCACGTGACAGACGAAAGCTTAGCACAGGTTCATCGGAGTCGAACGATGCTGGGTCTATGACTTTTGCGCACAATCCAACAGTCTTGGCAGCATCCCTCTTTCGGTTTCCAACGCGACCATTTCACGAATTCCTTCAAACCGACTTTCTTCGAAATGGAAAGTCGTGTCACAATCACATACAGGCATACACACACTCATAGACACGTGCACATAAACGCAGAAGCATACACAAAATAATGGACAGTAGAGTGAATTAATGAATGTATTAAATGGAGAAACAGAAAAATGGGGATTAGAAGATAACTCTGGCAGGCACTAGAGCATAAGCCTCTGAGTGTTTTTGATGCAACCTTGCGTGGTGAGTTCGTGTGCATAAGTACAAAACCTATGAGGCTAAAAAGGAAATTGTTCTACATGAAGTAGCATGCCTTAAGTGTGATTTCATAGCTACTCGTCTGGGTTGAGAAGACACTTGTGTGATTCCGGTTGGGGCACACAGACGAAAGTAGATGCAACTTATCGCAAGCCGTTCAAATCAGATAGACAGTTGAACCGGTTCGTCTTAAATGCATATGAGCCTTAATCCAAAATGTATCGGCAGCAGCAGGGCTACAGCCTAGAAGAAAGCGGAAGAGTTAAAAACTACATCTACCCGAATGAAAATTCACACTCAGTAAAATAAAAAAATTAAATGAGAATGTATTAAGGCTAGCTACCCAGATGCATTGATGTATGGAAATATCGCCACAGATTTTTTTCTACAAAATAGTGAGAAAGGATAGAATACCAGCTATACGTGCTGAAAGTTGAATCACCGTCTGATAGATAGATTCACGTGTGGACGAACAGTGAGAGAGAGAGAGAGAGTATGCTTACTTTAGTTTGATAGACTCACAGATAAAGACGAGAAATGTTCTCAAAATCACAACTGAAACAAAGACACTAGGGCAAAACGATGTTGAGATGTGCATAAAAAGACAGACGAGTTAGTGTCTCCATTTCCTTGCTTACGTCGAGTTCGTTTAGGCATCGGTGGCGCCCAAACACGGCGGGACTCCACTTCATTCCACTCCTCCATTGGCTCTTCACGGGTTTGCCACGCTCTCTCATCGCCAACAAGTTGGCAATTCCCCTCCTTCCTCA